TGAGGGATGTGCTGGCCGCGGCTTCCCACCGCCCCCATTGGCCCGGGACGGCGAACCGGGGCGAGTGAGGGCCACGATCGGCCGAAACTGCTGCATCAGCAGGTAAATAAACTGGCCCGGCCCGCCAGGGTGCTTACCCTGGCGAGCCGTGTGCCAAACGTTGCCGACCCATGTGTTAGATTAAACATTTAAACACCTGTATTTGTAAACATGTTATATTGACAAACTAGCCCCAATTCACAATGCACAGAACAAATAAACATTTACTGTAATTTATTACCTAATAAGCTTTGTTTTTCAATCTGGGAGGCAAGATGAGAAAATTCAGGACAGACTACAAAAAGTTATGAGCCCTATTCCCCAAGCCACTAAAGCTCATCTCCATTACACTGCCGATAGTCTGAATAACAGTCTGCTCACATTCTCAGACAGGCACAATAGTTATCGGATGAATGCAGAACTTTCTACTGAGGATTCAAATTAAATGAAACCTTTTAATTCTGAAGCACAGAGAAGGAAGGAAGTTTTCTATAATTTCATTTTATCTGCTGATGACATCTTTAAATTCCATTTCTAAGTGTTCTACTTAAATAGATGAAACACGTGAAAATCACAAAGATTATCAAGTGCTACTTGACAAGATTAGACAAGTGGTTTAAGAAGGTCCTCAGACACTACAAATGATTCCAGCAAAGATAGATGGAAGAGCTGCATTCTAAATCAGAAGAATTTCACTAACCCTGCACCATGCATGTTTTCCACTTGATGAAGACTCGATTCAATAACTGGTGTCAAAGCTTCAAATTCTTCCACACACAATGCTTTGCACATGCCCCAGATTTTCTTGAGGGCTACTAATGCATAAAGTCGAACACTGAAATTGTGGTTGAAACACCACTGTAGAACAACAAGAAGGGCTTTCTTCAAAATTGGTTTCTAGAGAAGGAAAAATATTCTTTAGTTTACATTTTTGACTCATCACAGCATTTTGCCCCTGGAGAGCATAGGAAATAGTTTGGGATTGTGAGATAAGAACATTAGCTAGTGTTCTGCTAAAATGGTCAGCACTGAAATACCTAACAGTTTCATTTAAATTGCAAGCTTTAAGTTTCAGACTTGACAACCCATTCACATGAATGGAACAGTTCACATCTTTCAGAACCAAAAGCTTGTCTGTACATGGAGTTAATTCATTTCTGAATAACTACATTTGTGGACACTTATTCCAGAATGAAAGTGCCTTGCTCCTGTTTAGCTTATTAAAAAACAAATACAACTTTCATCTATAAATGTTTAAACTTCATGTTGGCTTTCATTTGTAAACACACCAAAATATTATTTACTATTTGTATTACCATGGTACCCAGAAGCCCTAGTCATGGGCCAGGAGCCCATTGTGCTAGATGCTTACTAACACAGAACAAAAAAGATAGTCCCAGCCCGAAAGAATGTGCAACCTAAGTATAAGACAAAAGATGGATACATTCAGCTAGACTGGAAGTACCAGGAAACAATGAGACAATATTGATCAGCATGATAGGCTCTGATTTCAGCATGCCACTGGCCTAACCATTGTCACATTTCTTGTAGACATCACAGAAAAGTAGAGTTTTGAAGGAAGACAATGAGGTTGCTTTGTGGGTGATTATGGGGAACTCCTCACAAGTATGAGAGGCAGCATGGGAGAAGCCTGCCATCTTCTCCTGGAGGTCTGCATCAAGCAATTAGTTAAATGGACAATGTCAACTTGAAATCTAATCAGTTTCAAAAAATGAGTTAAAAACAGTCTCAAGTACTATACCCCTTCCCTAAATTTTCCTCCCATTGTGGTTTTAAAAATCACCTTTTCCTATTTTTAAAAAAAATGTATCTCTCTCCCCTCTTGCTGTGTGAAAGCTCTCACACAAACTGTAGAGGAAACCAACATATTATTTTGGGGCGGGGGGGGGGAGAGAAGAGGGGGAGTTGTCAGTAAAACTGACTATACACAAAATGACCAAACTGGAAAAAAAAAAAAAGAAATGTTTTTCCTTCAACCAGTTTCAGCTCAGTAATCTGAAATGCCAACTGTAATAATATTAGGTAATTTTTCAGACACAGGTGTGATTTTGAAGTTGACAATAATCCTTTAATAAGCACAATTCCTTTTTATATGTGGTCCAAAACAGAGAAGAGGACAGAAGGCAGCAGTGTGTGTGGGTTTCTGCTCCATAAGAAACACAAGGATGGGGTAGGGCAAATAGCTATGTTAGGCTCAGAAATTTAATTGAACCTCACACAATGCTATCTAAAACATTAAAACCTAAAACTGAACAGGCACAATCAGATATTAAAAGCACACTAAACACACACATTAAAAAAACCTTTCACAACCACATCTTCAGGGTTGATTTTGTTTTTCTCTCATTTCCGCCTTTAATTTAACATTTTGGACAATAAGGGAAGAGCTTTATTTAACTTTGATAGTCTATCACTGATTAACTTGATCCTGACAAACTTATACAAAAGGCACTGAAGACAGCAGGATTACTTATATGAGTAATAGTTTGCAGGGTTGGTCTCTATGTGCATTTGGACTTTTATCCCGTACAAAAGACTCCAGAAGTCATCTAAACTAGTGGCAAACTGACACAGTTACAATGAGCACAGGAAAAGTTAACATTTGACAACTTGAGAGAGACTGACAAAATTACTAGGGAAATAAACATTTCCAAGATTCCAAGAAACTATTACAACCCATTTTTAAAATCCCTTTATAATACAATTGTGAGCATTCCTTTAAATGTTTGTTCTGGTTTTCTGTAATTTGAACTTACCTTCTCAGACGTATTTTCAAGAATAATGTCAAAGTGAGACAACACAGATAAAAATGTACAGATGCTAGTTTTAAGCTTTTCTTCACCCTGAAGTGAACACAATGTAATAAATGGAAAAATGTTATTGCTGCACCTTTTTGTATTTCACAAAGTGTTCTATAGACTCCAATTATAGCTGCAGTCTTTATAACCACAATGACCATTCTACTGGAAAAACATGTTTTCATTAGCAACACTTGTTTAAAAAATTAAGTAATTTTGTACAAGAGTATGGTTTTAGTTATTCATATTGTGTTCGTTTTTGTAAAATATTTTAACCAATACTAACTATACTATGGTATATATGAAATAAGCTGCATTCTCAGTTAAGTCTAGATAAAAAATTATCGTGACAATTTGTCCCTGTGCAAAAAAAAAGCAAAAGTGTGAAAAAAAAAAAACTGATCGGAACTGAACTAGCTAAAACAACAAGGAGTCTGGTGGCACCTTAAAGACTTTTTTTGGGCATAAGCTTTCGTGGGTAAAAAACCTCACTGCTTCAGATGCATAGAGTGAAAGTTACAGATGCAGGCATTATATACTGACACATGGAGAGCAGGGAGTTACTTCGCAAGTGGAGAACCAGTGTTGACAGGGCCAATTCAATCAGGGTGGATGTAGTCCACTCCCAATAATAGATGAGGTGGTGTCAATTCCAGGAGAGGAAAAACTGCTTCTGTAATGAGCCAGCCACTCCCAGTCCCTATTCAAGCCCAGATTAATGGTGTTAAATCTGCAAATGAATTTTAGTTCTGCTGTTTCTCTTTGAAGTCTGTTTCTGAAGTTTTTTTGTTCAATGATAGTGACTTTTAATCTGTAATAGAATGACCAGGGAGATTCACTTACTGGCTTATGTATGTTACCATTCCTGATGTCCATTTATTCTTTTGCGGAGGGACTGTCCGGTTTGGCCAATGTACATGGCAGAGGAGCATTGCTGGCACATGATGGCATATATAACATTAGTGGATGTGCAGGTGAATGAGCCCTTGATGGCTGGGTCCTCTGATGGTGTCGCCAGAGTAGATATGGGGACAGAGTAGGCAACAAGGTTTGCTACAGGGATTGGTTCCTGGGTTGATGTTTCTGTGGTGTGGTGTGGTGTGTAGTTGCTGGTGAGTATTTGCTTCAGGTTGGGGGGGTGTCTGTAAGCGAGGACTGGTCTGCCTCCCAAGGTCTGTGAGAGTGAGGGATCATTTTCCAGGATAGGTTGTAGATCGTGGATAATGTGCTGGAGAGATTTTAGCTGGGGGCTGTATGTGATGGCCAATGGGGGTGGCGAGAAACCGCGGCCAGCACATCCCTCAGCCCGCGCCGCTTCCCGCCGCCCCCATTGGCCTGGGACGGCGAACCGCGGCAAGTGGGGGCCACGATCGGCCGAACCTGCCGCGTCAGCAGGTAAATAAACTGGCCTGGCCTGCTAGGGTGCTTACCCTGGTGAGCCGCGTGCCGAACGTTGCTGAGCCTTGGACTAAAGTATAACTTGTATTTTGCTAAAGCTTATCTTATAGAAAGGCATCCAGTCTGGATCTGAAGACTTCAAGAGAAGGGGAATCTATTACTTCCTTTGGTAATTTGTTCCAAAGGTTAATCATCATCACTGTTTAAAAATGTGTACCTAATTTCTAATTTGAATTTGAATTTGTCTGGCTTTGGCTTCTAGCCACTGGTTCTTGTTATGCCTTACTCTGCTACATTAAAGAGCCTCATGGTACCTCATATTTTCTCCTGTGAAGGTACTTAGGCAATTGAGAGGCAACTTGATTACTATGTATTTCTGATAAATTAAACAGATTGAGGTCTTTAAGTCTCTTATTCTGAGGCATTTTCTCCAGTCCTCAAATCATTTTTGTGGTTCTTTTCTTCACCTTCTCCAATTTTTCAACACCCTTTTTAAAATGTGGACACCAGAACAGTATACAGTATTGGGTTTTATCAGTAATGTGTACAGAAATAAAATCACCTGCATATTCCTACTCCCTGATTATATATCCACGGATCACCATTAGCCCTTTTTGTCACATCACCACTTTGGGAGCTCATGTTGAGTTGTTTGTCCACTATGACCCCTAAATCCTTTTCAGAGTCTCTGTTTTCCAGTCCTCCATTCTGTAGGTACGGCCTGCATTCCTTGTTTCTAGATGTACAACTTTGCATTTGGAGTATTAAAATATATATTGTTTGAACAGGTCCAGTTTACCACGCAATCCAGACCACTCTTTATGACTGCCCTATCCTCATTATTTACAACTGTGCCAATCTTGGTGTAATCTGCACATTTTATCAGCAATGATTTTATATGTATTTCTAGAGCACTGATTAAAATGTTGAATAGTGTCAGACATGCAAAACCCCACTAGAAACACCCCCTTTCAATGATGATTCCCCAATGACAACTACTTTTTGAGCTGTCAGTGAGCCAGTTCTTAATCCATTTAACATGTGCTTACTGTATAATACTAAGTTTTTAATTCAGAATGTCATGCAGTACTAAGTCAAATGCCTTAGAAAAGTCTATTATATCCACGCAGTTACCATGAAATTACAAACTTGGTTGACAAAGAGTGAAATCAGGGTTGTTTGAAAGATCTATTTCCCATAGAAACATTGAGACTAGCATTAATTACAGACCTATTCTTTACTTGTCAATTAAATCCTGTATGAACTTTTCCATTATTCTGCTGGTATTGATGTCAGGCTAATCAACCTATTGTTAGCTTTAGGTTTTCCTTTTTGATAATGGCACATCAGCACTCTTCCAGTTTTCTGGAATTTCTCTGGTACTCCCCAATTTATTATAAGTTAATATCAGTAGTTCAGAGATCTCCTCAGTCAGCCCTTTTACGATTTTTGGATGCAAGTTATCTGGGCCTACTAATTTAAAAATGTTTATCGCTAATAGATGTTATCTAACATCCCCTTCAGCGACGAATGGACTAAAAAGTAGGTCTTCATCCTCATAGGATACAAGTACATCATCCTACTTCTTTCCAAATATAGAACAGAAATATTTATTGAACACTTCTACCATATATCTACCATCAAGATTAAAATAAATATTTACTTTATTTGTACATTTTGTTTGGAAGGTTTTTCCTCCCCTCAAGATGGTGAATTTTAAGAACTTTTTTTTAGCAACATATGAAAATGCAAAATATCTTGAAAGACAAAAGTGAACAATATTCAAAATTTGTCTCCAACACTCATAACTGGGTAACGATGCTGAGCAAAACGGCCACATTAAAAGCTTTAATTTATAAATGGGAATATTACTTATATGACACAAGCACACTAGAAACCAGATTCTGTGCTGCACTTCGCAGATGACACAACTTAGATGGGGAAACAAATTTGACTTTTTAACACCTTTGTACTTCCAAGATTTGAGGCTGGTCCAAAGGCTGGCATGGCTCCCACAGTAAGACAGAGGAGTTCCTATGGCTGTTTTAATTTACAGTGCCTTCAATGACTTTTTGTGGAGCCATCCCATGTCCCGTCATACTCCTGAAAGCCCCTATGTTGTTGGCTGCCAGGAGGGATGTTACTGGGCTCTTACACCAATACCAGTCTTCCTGGGGAACCACAGCGAGCATGGGGATTTCCAAGCTGGAGGCATCCATGCGGGTTACAGCCCCCTGTCACACCAAAGTATCATATCAGGGTGCCACACAGAATCAGATTCTGTGGGTTTGATCTTGTGTTCTTTAAGCACTCAAAACACTTACTGACTTTAAGAAAAATTATGGATGTACAAGAAATATTGCATTAGATCCCATGTATGTGAGAAGACATCTTACACTTGTTCAAATTAGACACAGAATGAATGTCAAAATTCTTACTTACATAGCAGAAACAATTCCAAAATTTTTCAAGACACTGGGGGTATCTGTGCAGAATCAAGATGATAATCCATTCTATTAAGTATTTTATGGATGCTTGATTGTTACCAAATCCAGCCTGAAATATCTTGTCAAGAGTCCCAGTCAAAAAATTCTGAGCAAAATAAAATTAACCCCCCCCCATTGATTAGTCATCTAAAGTTTCATCAATAAATTTCAAAATCTTGCTAAACTACAAAAACCAAAAACTTTACAGTCATTTGGTCCTCAAATCTTGTTTGAAACACCTTAGAACAATCAAAGCAACAATATTTAATAGATACATTTAATATCTATATGCTACATGTTCACCAATGTGGGAAAAACTCTACTCTGTAGGGAGATACTGAAATATCTGGGGCCAAAAAGAAATATGCTGCAGAACTGCTGCTTTAGTCTCCTCTGCCCTATCTTGCCAAATATGTTAACCTCAACACACAGCAGAAGGTGGTCCTTTATTTTTCATTAAGAGGTAGCAAGGAAGTGCTGTGGTTTTTTTTTTTAAATTATAACTGTATTAACAAAATACCTTATTTTCAAAACAACTCTTTTATATAACCAATTCATATGAAGTGGGAATAAAGAGCGAGTATCTTTTGAACTTTTACATAATTAAAAATTATATTGCTGTGCCAGAATTTAGGTCATCACTCTAACTGTTCTAAAGAATGAATGTAGTACCTATACAATTCTTTTAATGGCTTCTTTCAATTCTTTCCATGCAAGGCATTGTGTTTTTACTTACATTATGACAGATTATCCAAACAATACAAAATATTCCATTAGGAAGAAAAATAAATGAAATTCAAACAAGCACCAGAGGTTTAGAATAGTAAACCCTAAACATTCTGAATATTTTAAATAGTAGTATTTTTATTAAATGAAAACTAGAATCAGCATCTGTCCATGATATTTAAGGGCACAAATCACTACAGTATCTAGGTGTTGGCTATACAGAATTTAAGGACTAAATCTTGCAAATGGATCCAACCTGTTCACATCCCAGACCTACTGAAGTCCATTTGCAGGATCCAGCATTAAGACCGCACATACAGATAACTGTATTAGTCAGCCTTCATGTAAATAAATTATCAAATCTGTTGTAATGTACATAAGTGTTGCAACTAATATTTTGTCTCTCTAGAAAATCTATCTTACATGAGAGTTCATGTTACAGAAATGAAGTTTATATTACACTGGACTTTTGGATGCCAAGTGCAAAAATAGATCAAATATTTATGAAATTGCCTACTCCATTTAATATATTCACTTTTGCTTAACAAAAATTACATAAAATTACATAGTATTCCATTAAAAATAAAAGCAATTAGGTAATAAAGGTAATACCTGATCAAGTTTTGGAAAAATAACTAGCAGTGTTTGCCACAGCCGATTTTTAATTCTGTGTTGTAAAGAGTTCACATAATAGCGTGTTCTAGATTTGGACACCAATTCATCCTGAAAAGAAATTCAAAGTACATGTAATAAGTCTTTTAAACTTTTAAAATTTAAAAAAATGGATTAAACGGTAGATATAAGTGGTCTCTTCAATAGCTCTTCAAGTATTATTCTGAAATGTATTGGTTTTTTAGAATTACATTTTGAAATCCACACACAAAAAGTAACTGAACTTAGGAAGGATACTAAGTAAAATTAGGTCATTCTTATCTTAACGTACAAGCATACAAATCTTATGTGTTGAGATGAGAAAGAATGTGTTCAAAAGACTATTCAAAAACAGCACCTACAACATACAAGTAATTAACTCAAAATGCAGCATAAACAGAAACATGGATCCCAGTTTTCAAATTAGATTGCCTAAATTAGGGCACTCAAATTGACATTTAGTTGTATAAAAACTATTAAAGCTCCTACTTGCAGATATGAATATCCAAATGAAGAAACAAATTGTTTAGTTTCCAAATTGAAATTTGGGATTAGCGTTTTGATAATACTAATAAACACTGCAATAATTCAGTTCTGGAGTTTGGCTCAGCTTGTAACTGGAGTTCTAGTCAACAACAGAAACATGTTTGTATGAGAGAAAATAGGTCAAATAAATCAAGTATTAAGCAGCTGTCAATACAACACACACTAATTTAGATCAGGCAGGCATTTCCTTACATATTCTCCTTTCTACTTATCGAAATATTTGACTGAAAGTATTTCCTATATATATATATATATATAATCTGTGTGTGTAGTACTCTGGAGGTTCAATTTGCATGTGAATAGCATAACATGAACAAACTCATAATTTATTTACTGTTTTATTTGTTCGTTTTGTCCTATAGTTTTAAGAAATAAAGACTGCCTATATGAAATCTCTAGGCACCCTAAAGATTAAACTCATGTCCTTAAACTCATGACAGAATTGTAATATGTGCCCCTTAGGCAAAGAAAAACCCCTGGCTGGCCTGTGCCAGCTGACTCGGGCTCGTGGGGCTCAGGCTGTTTCATTGCTGTGTAGCAGACTTACAGGCTCAGACTGTAGCCTGAGCTCTGGGACCTTCCCACCCTGCAGGGTCCTAGAACTCCAGTCCAAGACGGTAAGTTTACACATCAACGAAACAGCCCCAAAGCCTGAGCCCCATGAGCCCTTCTCTTTTATAGCAAGAGGAATCCAGGTCTCGTGCCTCTGCTTACTGCAACTGTGGCAGTATGTCAAAAGAAGAGAGCTGTCTCTTCAGATAACATAAAAGTTAAACACAGACCAAATAAATACGAGCAAGCCCTCTGCCAAATGGGATTTAAATTCTGGCACAAGGGTCCTTGGAATCTGCGGCAAGTTCTTTTCATTTTCTGTAAAATATAAAACTCATTGAATTAAATATGAAAATACAGAATACAACCAGGACAGTAGCCTGTGCATTATTTATTTTTATATTAAATTCAATTTATTTTATACTGTGCTCCCATTTGCAGTTTTTAAGTTTCCATGCATTTTTGAATTCACAATGCATAATTGCTCTACAGAAGTTGTCTATGGGGAAGGTGGTGGCTTTGGCAGCTGGGTGGGGAACCGCCGAAGTTTCTGGCACGAGGGAGGATGGGGTTTGGTATTGTGAGGTAAATACATTAGCTGGACTTTCTCATAAAAATGATCAGCAGTGAAATAGTTAACATTGACACTTAAGGCTGGGCTTTTCAAGAGATCTATAGGGAGTTAAATGCTTAACTTCCCTTGAATTTCAATGGGAATTCAACATCTAATTCCCTTAGCTCTTTTGAGAATCCCAGCCAAAACGAACATCTTTAGATTTTATATTTAACCACCACTGAAATGAATAAGGCAATTAATATATCTCAGAACTAAAGTTTCAGCTTATCCCCAGGAAAGGAAGACCACACTGAATTGGCTACTCTTGATTTACGTTTTCTTCACTCAAGTGAGCAATAGGATTTTTTTAAATTTCAAATCTGAGGTCAGAGTCTCAGCTGGTTGAAATTGAAATACCTTCACCGAAGTCTGTGGAGTTATGCAGATTTCCACTAGCTGAGACTCTGGCTCTTGATTTGTAAAAATACTCACGTGCAACTTTGACATCTGGGCCAACTGCCGGAATGTTCATGTCAAGCAAATGTAAAAAGAGGCAGGATTATGGACAAAACAAGTTTATTTTAAAATCTGAATTAATATTAAGATAGTTTTTACTCTAGCAATTGTGGGGGGTAAAGGGAGGTTGGGACTGGAAGAAAGAACTGGGGTTGGATGTCCCTGCCAAACATCGTGGAATCAGTAGTTAAGTAACTTGTTCATAGAATCATAGGATTGGAAGGGACTTCGAGAGGTCTTCTAGTCCAGTCCCCTGAACTCAAAGCAGGACTAAGTATTATCTAGACCATCTAGGACAGGTGTTTGTCTAACCTCTTAAAAATCTCCAATGATGGAGATGCCACAACCTCCCTAGCAATTTATTCCAGTGCTCAACTACCCTGATAGGAATTTTTTCCCCAATGTCCAACCTAAACCGAACTTGTTGAAATTTAAGCCCATTGCTTCTTGTTCTATCCTCAGAGGTTAACGAGAACAATTTTTCTTCCTCCTCTTTGTAACAATCTTTTATGTACTTGAAAACTTTTATCATGTCTCCCCTCCATCTTCTGTTCTCCATACTAAATAAACCCTATTTTTTCCAATCTGCCCTCATAAGTCATATTTTCTAGACCTTTAATCATTTTTGTTGCTCATCTCTGGACTTTCTCCAATTTGTCCACATCTTTCCTGAAATGTGGTGCCCAGAACTGGACACAATACTCCAGTTGAGGCCTTATTAGCACGGAGTAGAGCTGACGAATTACTTCTCATGTCTTGTTTACAAACACTCCTGCTATCAGTGGTTCTCAAACTTTTGTACTGGTGACCCCTTTCACATAGCAAGCTTATGAATGCGACCCCCCCTTATAAATTAAAAACACTTTTTAATATATTTAACACCATTATAAATGCTGGAGGCGAAGCGGGGTTTGGGGTGGATGCTGGCAGCTCGCGACCCCCCATGTAATAACCTCGTGACCCCCTGAGCTTGAATTTGAACCACTGATAACTACTCTATGAAATTCATCTGGAATTATAGTTTATATGACAATTTTACAAAGCTGTAAGATAAAACAAGTGATAGTTCAAAATAGCACCCCAAGGACTGCCAAGCTGGCTTTCAGTCACTTTTGCGCTGTTCTGATTTTGAACCAGTTGTGCGCTGGTCTAGTCACCCAGCAGAACATAGAGTAGTTTAAAGTCTACTCTAAATTACACCAGCTGCGGATAGCCCTAAGGGGATGTCTCAGTAGCCAGGGACTGCTGGAGTGCATGGAAGCCTTAGGTCAAGGCCCTACACCAGACACAGGAAAGGGATTGCCATAGGAGCTTACATGCCCTCAGAGGGTCTCCCTATCCTCTCATGGCAGCTTTGGAATGCTTGGTGCCAGCACTGGGGGATAGAGTAACTATAGGGTAGCTGAAGATTGGGCCTTCCACTGCCATCAGCCAAAAAATTATTTTTATAAGCCAAACCTCTTAGAAATCTTACGAATAGCCTAGAGTTTATTGGACATGAAAGATATTAGACAACACAGTAGAAGGCAAGGGAAACCCAGCATTTTCAACATCGCCAAGCCAAATACAAATTCTCGAGACAATGATGCTTATGTTTTGAATATGTGCAATGAAAAAAACAGCCCAGCACAAATGGAGTAACAAACCTGAGACTTGCCACTGTTACTTCCTCAGTTCTGGCTGAATAAACTCTAATCTCATCCTCAAGCAATAATATAGCCAGGAATATTCAAATCACACTGACAGGTCTTGTGGTGGTGGTAAAAAGATATTATTTATTGGATAAGGAAGTCAAAGCTAGAGATGCTTTAAAAAAAGATTTTGACCATTCTATAATACCCCTTGAACTGTGAGTACCTTATATTTCAATTAATTAGTATGATATCAACAGAAATTTACTTTATCAAGTAGTTTGATGACAAGGTCTTCCATAAACATCTTGTGCAATGTATTTGATCCATCCAACCAGCATAGAAATTTGACGGCACAAACTCGCACATAATGGTCATCTCTGTTTGTACTGTAAAACATTTTATTAACACAAAAATGAGAATGAACTAATTCAGATATTAAGCAAGCTGAACCTCATACATAATAAATATGGTTTTTTATAATCTAAAATATTAATTTGATATTTTAATTTTATTAAAAACAAATATGAAGACAGAAAGAAGCTGGGGAGAGTCAGAGGACACCCCTAAAGGTTAGTATATTTTGCACAAGTACTTGGTATTACGTTAAAAGAATATGCATGTTTCAATCACATTATATGGCAAATGAAAATCTAAATTCCAAAATACATTCCAAACAGCAGGTAAATGTCTTCTAGAGTTCCATGTTACAAATGAAATACCCATGAAACATCGTAAAGAGATTTCTTTAGCGTCACAGCATCCATCTGTCAAGAGGGACTGGGTACTTGTATGATGCTGAAGCTGTATGTAGTGAAATTATGTGAACTACTCACCAACCAACTTCAATGTAAGTAACTAGCCGGTATACTCTGAAAGGTTTCAATTGTGTGTGTATATAGCTTTTCGTTCATTAAAACATTTATTTTTTCTTAGAAATAAGCACATTTTGAAAACCATATCTGGACTGCAAATTTAATTTTTACCATTTAATTCCCCCTATCCCCACATTCCTCCTTCATCCACACCACAATCAAGACAAAAGACATGATTCTCTGTCTACTAATAATGATTTTTGCCATATAGGCTCTACTCCTGCAAAGGTTTATGTATATGCTTACCTTTATGCATGTGAGTAGTTCCACTGACATCAACAGGACTACTCACATGTAAAGGTAAGAACATAAGCAGGCAGAAAGCCTACAAGGAATGAAACAATGGATCAGCAAGAAAAGGGGCCTCTTGGAGGCCAGACAGTGTAGGGGAAAAGTGAAACCTGCCAGAAGCCAAGCAAAGTTGGACCTTGCAAAAGAAAGCAAAATCAATAGTAAAAAGGTTCTTTAGCCATATATATGAGAAGAAAACAAGGAAAGAGGAAGTGGGGCCACTAAGCACTGAGGATGGGGTGCAGATTAAAGATAATGTAGGTATGACCCAACACATAAATGAAAATGTTGCCTCAGTTTTTAACAGTAATGAGGAGCTTGGAGACAGTGGCAGGATAGCTAACGGGAATGAGGATATGAAAGTAGAAATTGCCACATCCAAGGTGGAAGCAAACTCGAGCAGTTTAATGGGACAAAATCAAGGGTAGGAGGGCAGCTAATCTCCATCCAAGAATATTAAAGGAACTGGCAAATGAAACTGCAAACCCACTAGGCAAGAATTTTTACTGACTGGAGAACTGCAAATATAGCACCTATATTTAAAAAAAAAAAGGGGGGCGGGGGAGAGAAGCAATCCGAGAAACTATGGGTCCATTAGTTTGACCTCAATTTTATGCATGATCGTGGAACAATTTTTGAAAGAGAAAGTAGTTAAGGACATAGAAGTAAAATGGTAATGGGAATAAAATACAACATGGTTTTACAAAAAATAGATCATGCCAGACCCCAACCTAATCTCTTTCTTTGAGAAGATAAACAATTTTCTAAATCTAGACAAAGGAAATGCAGAAGATCTAATCTACCTGGATTTCAGTAAAGCATTTGATACAGTTCCATGTGGATAATTATTAGTAAACTGGAGATGATGGGGATTAATATGAGAATCAAAAGATTGATAAGGAACTGGTTAAAGGGGAGACTACAACCTGTCATGCTGAAAGATGAACTGTCACGCCTGAAGGAGTTTACTAGCGGAGTTGCACAGGAATCAGTCTTGGGCCAATCTTATTTAACATTTTCATTAATGACCTTAGCACAAAAAGGGGGACTGTGCTAATAAAATGTGCAGATGACACAAAGGTGGAATTTATTGCCAATACAAAGGAGGACCAGAATATCATACAGGAAGATTTGCACAACCTTGAAAACTGGAGTAATGGAAATGGGATGAAATTTAATAGTGCAGAGTGCAGGACATACACTTAGGGACTAACAACAAAAAAATTTGCTGTAAGATGAGGACGTATCAGTTGGAAGTGACAGATGACGAAAAAGACATTGGTATTTTGGTTGATCACAGGATGACTATGAGACATGAACGTGATGCGGCTGTAAAAATGCTAATGCATTCCTAGGATGCATCAGGCGAGGTATTTCCAGCAGAGATAAGGAAGTGTTATTACAAGTATACAAGGTACTGGTGAGACCTCATTTGGAATACTGTGTGCAATTCTCATTCTCCATGTTTAAGAAACATGAATTCAAACTGAAACAGGTGCAGAGAAGAGCTACGAGGATGATCAAAGGAATGGATAACTTGCCTTAGGAGAGGAGAGTTAAGGAGCTTGGCCAGAGAACGGCGGCTGTTGGCTGGGTGCCCAGCTCTGAAGGCAGCACCCCACCACCAGCAGCTGAGAAGTAAACATGGCAATACCATACCATGCCACCCTTACTTCTGCACTGCTGCCTTCAGAGCTGGGCGGCCGGAGAGTGGCAACTGCTGACTGAGGGCCCAGCTCTGAAGGCAGCAGTGCAGAAGTAAGTGTGACATTACCACACTATGCCATTCTTACTTCTGCGCTGCTGCTGGCTCTGCTTTCAGAACTGGGCTCTTGGCCAGCAGCTGCCACTCTCCAGCTGTCCAGCTCTGAAGGCAGCACCACCACAAGCAGCTGCACAGAAGTAAGGGTAGCAGTACCGCAATCCTCCCTACAATAATCTTGCAACCCCTACCCCACAACTCCTTTTGGGGTCAGGACCCCTACAATTACAACACTGTGAGGTTTCAGATTTAAATAGCTGAAATCATGAAATTTACAATTTTTTAAATCCTATGACTGTGAAATTGACCAATATGGTAGGGCCCTAGTAATAAATGTTCCATTTACAAAATGGTGTTTGATTACATATGAATTAGAAGAAAGGGTACCCTGAGACTTTTGGAGTGAGTGATCTCAACTCCAGGTTTTCATTACATTACGGACAACTGAGTATCAGACTGTCATATCAAACTCTTTGTAAAGTGAGACCCTCTTGGATGAGAATGCTGAAGCAATAAACCCCTAGAAGTGTCAAGTAAAGGCTGGCGATTGTCAATTAAGTTTTTAAGTAGCTACTGAAACTAGCTAGAAATGCTATTTGGGTGCAGAGGTGCTAGGGAGGACATATTTCCTTGGGTCTGGGTGGAAGTGTGTGTCAAGCTGCACAAAGGATCAATATTCTGGTGGCCATAGTTTTTCATTCAAATTCCCAGCTACAGCCATGACGGGAGGCAGAGCTTGCTGTTGAATTGTGCATATTAGACCAAACTGAAGAGTGGTCTACAACCAAGAGAACAGAGATCAAGACATACTGGTAATAATTAGGGCAGCCAAGAGATCAAAAAAATTAATCGCTATTAATCCCAGTTTTAATTGCATGTTAAACAGTGCAATTAAACTCCTTTTACTGAGCTAAGTGGGCTCTCTTCAGCTGAGCGAGCCCTTGTTTGCAGAGGAGAATGGATTTTACCTTAGGGACTCCACGTGTGGCAGGAGAGGTGAGGCTGGTGCAGGGAGGTGGAGCTCACTAGGCCCTTGTTCTCTATGGGATACCCCCAGAGGGGGCCGGAGGGGAAAATGGGGGGCAGGGCATGGAGGGGTCGGTTCCCCATCCCCAGAGTGAGGGGCCAGGTTGTAGGTATTGGGGCATGGCATGCACGTGGGGGTTTGTCATCTAGTCCAGTCCCCTGCATTGATGGCAGGATTAAGTATTATCTAGACAATCCCTGAATATAAACATACATTAAAACATGTATGATTTACCAGTATTTAGGATAGAGTTTATGACCATGTTCATAAGAACTTGGCTTTGAAGAACATACAAAGAATATTATTCCAACCCCCAGCAACAATGAAGGATGCAGTTATCATACATGTTAACTATAAAAAACATACCTTTCTGTGACAACATTTGCTGCACATTCATCTCCAAGATTTTCTACAAAGGCATGGACATCCTGAATGAGTCTTCTCAAATGAAAAGTTATTTGAAAGACGAAGAGAGAAAACACAATTAAGTGAATCTCAAAAAACTAAACCGAGTAGCTAAAAAGCACAAAATCAAATAAAATCACACATACATAATGAAAATCTAATTAAATGCAGGGTATTTTATACCTTTGATCTCGCCTAAATACCATTCCAAAGACACAGGCCTCTGTGATAAGTTCACTGTAGTTTCCAGCATTTGAGAAGGGATTCTCTAAAGCACCTGTGTCATCAGACGTAGGAAATAGCCATGACTGACAGCAATAACTAAGCACTGTATTAAAGACTCCAGTTCTTGCAGTGGACATTTCAACTAGCTTGAGTATGATCTGAGGAGGGGAAAAAAAAGAGATAAAAATCCTAACTCCCAACAAAATATCTAGATTATTTAAATCTTATTGTAGCTGTATTGGTCCCAGGCTATGAGAAAGACAAGGCAGAGGTGAGGTAACTTATTGGAAGTTATATACACCTTTCATATAGCAGTTGGTCCAATACAAGATATTACCTCACCTACCTTCTCTTTAGATTATTTAAATGTACTTGTAGTACTGATCCAATACGTTGGGCTTGATTTCCGAGACAGAGATTTGCTCAGCATAGTGGAGATGAGGGTGTCTTGGAGCCAGTTACAGTTCCCTAATTCTGAGGGCCAATGGCTGGGCAACAATTCACCCATTATGTGCATTTACTTCAATATATAAGTAAGGCTACAATTTTATCACAGAGATTGCGGAAGTCATGGAATCGGTGACTTCTGAAAACCTCCATGACTTAAGCCCGCAGGCGGCTGGGAGCAGCAGGGTCCCACCACCACCCAGGGAAGCCAGGAGCTGCAGGGTACTCCCGCCACCCAAGGCAGCAGGAGCCCCAAGCTCTGAGGCGGTGTGGGTACCCAGCAGTTACCGGCCACCGCAGGTTGAACCCAGATGCCCCGGCCACTGCCGTCAGTGGGGTCCCCGCAGCTCCCCATCACCGTGGGCAGCTGGGGGGACTCCCATAGCTCCTGCCCGCTGTGGGTGCAGGATTCCCCACAGCTCCTCGCTACCATGGGCGCTGGGGGACTCAGAGCGGCCACGGGGGACCCCGCAGCTCCTGGCCTCTGGTGGCAGGGGACCCCACAGCTCAGAACTGTGGGGGATGGGGACCCTGAAACTCCGAGCCCCCATGAGTGGTGGCAGCCCCTGGAGCTCCCAGCCAGGCCCCCGCAACTGTCCTGCGGCTCCCCATTTTGTGATGGCTATTTTTAGTAAAAGTCAGGGAAAGGTCCCTGACTTTTACTAAAAATATCCGTGAAAATATCTTAGCCTTATATATAAGAAATGGTTACTCACTCTGTGCATTAACTGTGATTCTTTGAGATGTGTGTCCCTATGTCTGCTCCACTCTAAGAGCACTTGTGCCCTCTGCACCTTTGATCGGAGATTTCTCATAGCAGCATCTATTCAGCCTGCGCGTGCATATTACTCAGTCTCGTGCTCTGTGTCATTGTTATATAGCATGGGCAAACCGCAGTCTTCTACCGAGAAGCTGCATAGCGGAGAACTCTGAAGTAGAGGGGAAGGAGTGCAGGTAGAGGAGAATCCAGAAGGACACTCATCTCAAAGAAGCACAGTTATTGCACAGGGTGAATAACCATTTCTCCTTCTTCAAGCAGTGTCCCTTTAGGTGCGCCACATCAGATGAGTACTCAGCAGTTCCCTCTAAGGAGGAGGGGGCTTTGGAGTTCAGTCCAATACTGATGAAAGTATAGCCAAGCCCAACGCAGCATTGGAAGCAGAGTCATGAGTTATTGCATAGTGCTCAGCAGACAGGTGTACAAAGGTCCAATTCACGCTCTACATATTTCAATGATGGGAACATTTTTGAGAAAGGCTGTAGAGGTGGGAATAGCCCTTGTAGAGTGAGTTTGTATACCCCAGGGTGTTTGGAGATTATAAGATTGATAGGAATAAATAATGCAGTCAGATATCCACTTGGAAAGTCTTTGTTTAGAGAGTGCAGACCCTCTTGATCTGTCTGAGATCAAGACAAATACTTTGGGAGTCTTTCTAAAATGTTTAGTCCTGTCAACATAGAAGGCCAGGGCTCCCGACATCAAGTGTATGTAACGGCGCCTCTTCTTTGCCTAGGTGAGGTTTAAGGTAGAAAATCGGAAGGGGAGTGGGTTGGTTTATATGGAACTCAGAAGATATTTTTGGTAAAAACTTGGGATGTGGTCATAATATGATCTTGTCCTTGAAGAATACTGTAAAAAGAGAATATACCATAAGGGATCTTATTTCTCCAACTTGTTGAGTCAACGTGGTGGCTACCAGAAATGCTGTTTTCATGGATAAATGGAAGAGTGAGCAGGTAGCCATTGGTACAGACAGTGATCTTGTAAGGCATTTAAGAATCTGATTGGGGTCCCAAACTGGAGTAGGATGCTTCCCTGGCAAAAGGAGAATTCCAAGCCCCCTGAGGAACCTCATGTAGTTGGGTGGGTGTGATGGGAGTTGACGGTATTGTGAATCTCGACCACTCCTAGGGGAGTCCAATGGAGCCCGGAGTGGGCTTCTTCGGTAGTAAGTGAGAAGAGGTAGAGCTCTTCTTGCCACCTTGGTCCACTGACAGTACCAATGACCTCTCAGAGCCCAAGACTTTACAGTCTTTAGGTTTGAGAGTGCCCTTGATACCTGAGGAACAAGCAGTCTCATTGGCACTGGGTCAGAGAGCAATGGGTGCTGAAGTGGATGGAGTTATCAGAGACCACAGTTTCTTCAAGGTAGATTTCCTACCTGGAGAACTCGAGCGATGGTCTTTGGGAGTCTTTTGGGTATTCCTCTGAGATCCCCTTGAAGAATGCAGTTGGGAGAAAGTGGAGGCAGCAGACTTACTCAGAGGCTGGTGTATAGGGGGTCCCCTGGCCTGGGTCAGAGGCTGGGCGCAGCGACCTCTCCATCATGAGGAGTCGAAGTATGATCTCCGTTTTTTTCTGGTTCTAGATTTTAATGTCAGACAGAAGTTGCCCTTTGGGGAAATACGAGATTCTCTGAGGCAACTGATGCACTGGTAGTATCCATCACTCTCTGGGATTGCCTCCCAACAAGACAAGCAATGCCTGAAACCAAAAGAACCAGGGACACCCTCCGAGTGAAGTAAAACTCCAAGGAGTGGAGAAAAGCTAACTGTCTATATATATACACACATATATATATATATATATATATATATATACACACACACACACACACACACACACACACACACAAGATTGAAATATATATTTTTTAAAACTACTACAACTAAACTAAAACTACTACTAGGAACAATTAAGCTAAGGTAAAACTCAATGCAGACAACTGTTAAGGCACTATCTCAGACCAAGGCAGCCAGGGCCAGCTCCAGGTACCAGCTTCTCAAGCAGGTGCTTGGGGCGGCCGCTCCGGAGAGGGGCGGCAGATCCAGGTATTCGGCGGCAATTCGGCGGACGGTCCCTCACTCCGCCTGGGAGTGAAGGACCTCCCGCCGAATTGCTGCTGCAAATCGCAATCGCGGTCTTTTTTTTTTTTTTTTTTTTTTTTTTGGTTTTTTTTGCTTGGGGCGGCCGCTCCGGAGAGGGGCGGCAGATCCAGGTATTCGGCGGAAATTCGGCGGGAGGTCCCTCACTCCCCCTGGGGGAGGAGGGTCGCCCGCCCACATGCTGCCGG